CATGGTTGATGCCCCAAGAGCTATAGGGTTCTAAGTAAATGCAATAGAAAGCTGCTTCACCACACGCAGGGCCCGAACAAACCCTCCTTTGTGACTCCTTTCACAGTTTCTTACCAAGAGGAAAGCTGTCCTTTCCTACCTTAGTGCTTGTGCCACTGGTGACTACCCGAGAATTTAGGGTCCAGAGGGAGAAGGGAGAGATGGGGTTCACATTCCATGTGGGGAGCTGGACTGGGAGTGGGTTCATGACGGAGCTTGTGGGAGTCACCCCCGAGGACCCGGAAGCCCTTCGTCACAAGTGTGCCGAACACTTTGCAAAAGCTGGAGGCTGTGAACTTGAAGATGGTACAGTTAAGAGTCACCTACTGCTACGGGGTCTCATCTGTACCTGCGGGCTGTGGGAGCCGGGGAAATACAGGTAGACAGAGTTGAGCAAAATAGTAACTTTGCCTTCGAAACTATTCACTAGGTAAGAGCAAAGCGCATTCATATCAATGACTAAAAAATGCAAATTACTTAACTTTATGCATGAGATATTATACTACTGGGTGCCTCAGTGAATGACACGCAAGTATTAGGGTCTTTTTTGATAGAACTGGAGATACTGTCAAATGTTTTTAACTATGAGAGTCATTTTTCAGATCTGTTTTAGATACTTTTCTGACTACTTACTTTGGCAAGAAGGAAGGGGATGAGAAGCTAAAGGCCAGGACAGCAGAAGTAGAAAATAAAGTTGGTCTATGTTTTTGTAAACAGAGAGGGGATGGATTCAGACATATTTAACAGGGGATATAGCTCAGTGGCACAGTGCCCAACTGGCAAACATGAGGTCTTGAGTTTGATTCCCAGTACAAAAAAAAAGAGAGATGTTTAAGAGGATTACATGTTGCATGCAATACTTGAATGATAAAAGGGAAAATCTTTGATCACAATCCCCAAATCTCTAGAAGCAGTATCATGTAGGACTTTAAAATATAAAATAGCTGAGCATGGTGGTGCACACCTGTAATCCCAGTACTCGGCAGGCTGAGGCAGGAGGATCACTGTGAGTTCCAAGATATCTTGTGCTATATAGTGAGACCCTGTCTCAAAAAATCAATAATACTAATACTAATTCTAATAATAATAATAATAATATATAAAATAAACCTAGATTGCCTAAGTTTGAATCCTGGCTTTGCTATTTATTTATGGTATAGCACTGGATAAAAGTGCATAGCTTCACCATTTAAGTTTTTTCATCTGTAAATTGATATTATAATAGTGCCTATCCTTAATACAGTCATTCTGAATAGAAATAATTTCGTGCTAAAACTTCTTTAGAAGACTACCTCATGCTGGACAGGGTGGAACATGCCTGTAATCTCATCATTCAGGGACTGGGGATGTAGCTCAGCAGCATAAGCGCTTGCCTGGGAAGCTTGAGGTCATGAGTTTGATTCCCAGTACCTAAAAAAAAAGACAATTTTTCATCATGCAGGATGTTGAGGCAAGAAAATTGCCTTGAGTTCAAGACCAGCCTGGGCTACATAGTGAGTTCAAGGGCAGGCTGAACTATATAGGGAGACTCTGTTTCAAAAAAAGAAAAAGAATACTGCCTCACACTCAAATATGCTTGCTACCATTTTCCTAGCCAGGGTAACTACATGAACATCAATAGAAGTCAGTGAGAGGTCAGGTGTCTCAGCCACCCTGGAGGCTGAATCAACAGGATCACTTGGGTCCAGGAGTTCAAAACCAGCCTGAGAATCATAGCAAGACTTTGGCGGAGAAAAAAGGAAACAAGACAAAACAAACAAAAAGCAGTAAGATGAGAAAACAGTAGGCTTGGTAAGTGTAGAGTACGAAGGAAATACTGAGTTCAGTTTTGGACATAAACTAGTTTCTGACACATAACAGTCACATAATATTTGTTGAATAATAACACAAACAAGCAGATTCCACCTCCTTTTTTAAGCACTTATAAAAGCTCATATGCCAGGCACTGTTGCAAAGTCTTTACCTATATAACCTCTGCTCCTTTTGCAGCATAGTGAACAGATTTGCCGAGTAATGATACTAGCACAGGCCACATTCCCAGGAGGCAAAAAGGGTCTGATTTATTCTGATGGCGGTCAGAAAGTGGACCAGCTGGGATTTGGACCCTGACAGTTTGATTATAGTGTTGTATGCTGAACCCCTGCAGTATTGCAAACCATCTGAAACCTCTGCCCCCTAATATTTCAATACCAGTGTCTATTAAGATACTGCACCAACACAAGCTTGGTGGGGCACACTTGTAACCCCAGCGTTTGGGATATTGAGGCAGGAAGATCACCCTGAGTTCAAGGAAGCCTGGGCTACGTAACAAGTTCAAAGCCAGCCTAAACTACATAACAAGATACTGTACTACAAAAAACAAACAAATGAAGGTGTTTCATCCTGCCTCTTACAGCATTAGATGTTTAATAATAAAGATTCCTATCATTTACTGAGTGAGTACTATGTGCCAGGCATTATACTTACATGTATTGCCTTTAGTCTTCATGTTTTCACTTCAGTACATAGAAACTAAAGACCAGAGATGTTAAAAAACATACCCATAAGCACATCGCTACTAAGCAGCAGAAGAGATCTGAGATCAGGTCTGTGTATTCTCATAGTCTGTGCTATTGCTAGACTAATCTAAATTCAGCTATGTTAAATATTTGACTCACCATGTCTATGGGTTCTGCACCTATAGATTGATTTTTTCTTTTTTGGTACTGGGAATCGAACTCATGACCACATGCTTGCCAGGCAGGTGCTGTGCCACTGAGCTACATCCCTGGCCCAGCCATAGACTGAAACAACCATGAAATTGAAAGTATTTGGTGCTCCAAGCCTGACACAAGGTTGTCAATTGGAGCCCAGCCTCTGACTCAAGGAAACAAAAAAAAAAGATTGGCATGTGGTTCAGTGCAAAGATCTTGCATTTTATCCCAACTACTGCAAATAAGTAAATAAATTTTAAAAATAAAAAAGAAAGTAATTGGGGGAAAAACATCCTATCTGCACTCTGCATGTAGACCTTTTCCTTGTCATTATTTCCTAAATGATGCAGTTAGATGGTGTTTACATTATGTGAGATATTATAAATCACCTAGAGATGATTTACAATGTACAGGAGTGTATGTGGAGGCTCTATGCAAACTTGACATGGTTTTATACAAGGCATTTTGGAGGGGGGTGTCCTAGAACCAATCCCCTGAGGGGCAAATGTATTTACTGTCTCCTACTGTGTTTTTAAATGATACCATGACTCCCATGAATTCTGCAACCACCTTATGATGTTTGAAAAAGTTATAATTATGGAACTGAGGTTAGTAGCTGGAATAGCAGTTATCAAACTTTTGTTGCTTAGGAATCATGTATAAAATCCTAGACCTTGCTCCAAATGCTTTGAATCAGATTTCCAAGGATAAGTCTTAGAGCCATCACAGTACCTGATGTGATTTGATGCAAGTTCTCCAAGGATTGTACTTTGAGGGCTACTGTGAAGGATGGGGCTAATATCTCTGGTTTCAATTTTACTGCAGTTTGGTTACCAGTCCTGTGGTGAATTCACATCTGGTGGCCAACTTGTAACACTCAGTTGAACTGGCTTCAGTTCACTTTGGGGGAGCTCTGGTCTTCACTTTAAGCATCACTTCCTGGCTCTGGAGGGAAGATAATGCACTGCTTAGCGTCTTGGAGATGCTTGTCACGTTGGCTTTCCTGGTGGGAACTTGGCTTTCCTCATCGTTGGAGAAGCTCGCGACCTCACTGTTGCTGAGGATGGCGGTGGTACTTTTCTGGGGAGCTCAGGTTCATACATTGAGCATTGCTTCCTGGCTCCAGTTCAGATCCCTCAGCCTGCTGGCACAGATCCTTCATCTCGCTGGTACAGACTTTCCAGCTTCCACCACTGACCTTTTGGCCTTCCCAGCATAGATCCATGAAACAGACGTGCATGAGACATTGCCGTTTTCCCTAGGCCTCCAGCTGGACTCATAGGAGGCACTGTTATGGGCTCTAGGTCTTCAGCTGAACTCATGCAGGATAACGGCATGGGATCCAGTCTCTTGGGTGGATTCTTTGGTCTTTGGTGCATGGACAGATTTCCTGCACTCTTTGTTTTTTTGGTTTTGGTTTTTCTCCGGTACTTCCTGCACTCTTTGTATATGATTATTTAGGTGACTATTGTAAAATAATCTTATAAAATATGTGTCCTGTATTATATTGTTTTTCCTTGCAAAAACCCCCAAACTACGACAAATCCCATAATTGATTACTCCTTATATACTATTTCATATCTGTTGTTGTCAATTTTGCTGAGGATAAGCATGTAGCTAAGAACCATGAAACAATGTATACTCTGCCTCTTTGTCTGTTGTCATTGTTTTCCACTTTATGCCCCTTTCTCCTGATGAAATGCCGAGCAAGGTTAAAGGGTCAGACTTGTTTTTTAACAGAAACTAAATGTGCGATAGTTGTGCAAGGAGAGTGCTGGCTTCAAATCTTACTTCTGCCTCTCTGAACTTTGGTTCCTCATCTGTAAAATTGGGTCAACAGGACCTACTTCTGCTTCACAAAGTTGTGAGATAATGTGGTACCTGGTATTGAGTTACTCTTTAAATAACCGATGACGTTCATCAATGCATAATACAGCTTTACCTTTGGAGAGAAAGCTCATACAAGTGTTACGCTGCATGTAGAAGAAGGACCATCATTTCTTAGGAATGTTCAGGAGGAGACTGGCAAGATTAAACATGTATAAACCTGTAGTTCTTTATGATTAATAGCATTCCTTTTAATTCAGCCCGTCCTATAGCTAACCCAAATTAGACATTTGCATTCGGTACGTATTTCACAATCATCTCTTATTCATCGCTCACCGTGTGAACTGGGTCAATATGACTGTCTTAGTCACTTTTCTCATTCTGAGACAAAATACCTGACACTTGAAGTTAGAGGAAGAAAAACTTACTGTAACTCACAGTTTGTAGAGGTTTCAGTTCATAGTTGGCCAGCTCCCAGGCAGGGTGGCATAGCAGAGGGGCGTACGGAGGAGACATAGTTCATGACAGGCAAAAAGCAACAAAGCCACAAAGTAGTGAAGAAGTAGCAAACAGTCAGCAGCAAGTGCCAAGCAGCTTTCTACCCTTTCTACTCTATTCGGGTAGCACTCACACCCATGGTGGGACACCCTTAATCCTAGCATCGTACTGTGTATCAATCCCAGCATCCCACCCTTAATCCCAGCATCACACACTCTAGATCCTGCCACCTCCAAAAACCCGCGCCTATGACTGCATGAGGCTTTGGGGGGACATCTAGATACAAGCCATAACAATGACCTACTATTTTTCTTGTATGGGTCAATTGTTCAGCTATCGAAGCATTATTCTGACAAAAGACCTGGTAGTAATCATTGTGCATACTTACACTTTTTGTGAGAATTAAATTATTAAGCCAGAAATTCATTCACTCTTCTATTCTTCATCTTGACAAGAGCACCTTTACAAAAAATGTATAGCTTACTGCAATGTCAGTGATCTAGGAATATTTATATTACATAAAGACAATGGACTGATACAATTTTAACTCCCTCCAGAATACTATTGAGGAAAAGGATTTCAATATTTTGGGTTGGAAATTATAAAGAGTCTCACCTGAATTATCCAAATTGAGCTTGTTTCCTTATTTAATTATCAATGATTTTAAACCTAGATGTTTCTTTTTTTTTGTTTAAACCTAGATTTTGCAAAGGAACAAAACATCTGTCATGATCTCTTAGAATATTATTATTATTTTAATGTACATAATAATTTAAAAGGTAATATTGAATACTTTGTATGCCAGGCACTGTGAGAAAGCCTGTTATACTTATTAACTCAGTTAACTTTCATAAATGAGGTATGCATTGCTATTTCTCCTCATTTGTAGGTGAAGAATCAGAACTTCCGAGAGAATGGGTCATTTGCCAGGGTTTACATTTAAGGTAAAAATGAAGCTGGGGTGGGAATTTAAATCTGTCTGACTCTGAGCTCAGGCATCTAACACATTGCTCTTCTCTTGGCGGGCGAGAATTCTACCGCTGAACCACGCATGCTGCTCTTCTTCTCTCGAACCCTCAAAAGTGAACTAGTTTTGAAATAAATATATGCCATCATATAGTTTTTGAAAAGAGGGTTCCATGAAATCAAACAATTTGACAGAACATGGTAACTCCAAATAATGGGAATCACTGCTATATGCATATCACATTCATCAGAGAATTGATCAGCTTAACATTTCAATTAAAATAACACCCAGATATGACATGTAAGCATACCTCCCACTTTTCCTTGCAACTAGGTAAGCTAAACTCTAGACTATGGGATAAAAACGGAGGTGTGTTTTGCTAACTTTCTTAGTGTGTACGAATTCTTTGGTTCTCTCACACCATTCATCCATTTTACTGCCTTGAATCAAGCACCACCATCTGGACTTAAAAATGAAGACTACTTCTAGAGTTGGTAAAAGGAGTGCAGCCTCCTGCGAGGCCCTGAACTAGAACCACCCAGCCAAATCATCCCAGGATGCCTGGACCACACAAACTAAGAAACAGTAAATGTTGCTCCTTAATGTCACTAAGTTCTTGGGTAATTGGTTATAGAATGATAGGTAATGACATAAAGAAAGCATTACTTTGGCCCAGTATCATAGCCTGTTATCCCAGCACTTGGGAAGCTGAGACAGGAGGATTATGAGAGATATTGTGGGAAAAAAAAGAGAAGAAAGAAAACCATATCTTATTTACACCACTGTCATTATGTATTTTCTATCACTCACTAATAAGTCTCTTAAGTCTCCTTTCCAGTGAAATTGTTGTAGATTTAACCTAAAGGAATTACTTTTCAGGTGCTATTCCTAGGGTTCCCACAAATAGAGAACTAGCAGAGGCCAAAGAGAACACCTTGTCCAGTCTCCTCATTATACCCCTAAAAGTTATAGCTCACATGTAGTGATTCCAGCATCAGACGCAATTCTTTTGCCATGGATGATGGGGTCCAGATGGGTTTTTAAATTCCTGTGTGTGATGGTAAGGAAAAAAAAATTGCACGTTATGATAAGGAAAAAAACAACAAAGTTTAATGAATTTTTGGTAGAGGGTGGTATGCTCAGTGTGAGTAGCCTTGAACTAGTGGAAAGGAAAATAACATTAAATATGTAGGGTTTAAGAATTTAAAATGTTGTGCCCTGTCTAGGGTAGCTCCCGTTGGATCTTCCAGACCCAGTGTTCTTGACGAACAACGTGATTGATAGTATGCTGAATCATGTCATCTGTATCTATTGTATCAAATATCCTGTCTTTTCCCATAATTCATCCTGGTATAATCAGATGTATGAGACGCAGTCCATATACATGAACATTTCATGAGTTCCAAGTGAAGAAAAGTTACCATAGGTGTGATAGTTAACTGCTGTGTTGATTTGAGTAAGAAACACTCACCTCAGCGCCTGCCTGGCAAGCGCAAGGTCAAGAGTTCGATTCCTGGTACCAGAAGAAAAACAAAAACAAAAAGAAACAAACCAACAAAAAACCAGACTCCTTAAAAAAAAAAAAAGAAACACTCAGCTGATTGGTTTGGCCCAGTTCTGGGTGTCACCGAATGATGGACATACCAGAGAGGGAAGGTCCACCCTGGGGTGTGAGTAGCACCAACCAATAGGCTTCTAGCATGGATAGAATGAAAAGGGAATGGAGTCTGGCTTCTGCTGCTTTGGTGGAGTTTCAGTCTTCACCACTGCTTTTGGTTGTCCATCTCCAGGTTTCTAATGCAGACTCTTCAGCTTTCAAACATCAGCTTCATAGAGGCTGGGGATTTAGCTCAGTGGCACAGTGCTTGCCTGGTAAGCACAAAGTCGTGAGTTCAATTCCCGGTTCTGGAAAAAAACAAAAAACAACCAAAAAAAAAAACAAAAAAAAAAAACACATCAGCTTCCTGATGTAGACTGCAACAGGACAAGACGGTGAACTCCAGCTCTTTCACCTTTGACTGGATTCTTTGGTTCACCAGTGTGCATACGGCCCTTTTGCCTTCTTTCACACCCAACTCTGCAGGCAACTATTGTAAGCATACTTTATAAAAAAATTATATATATATATATATATATATATATATATATATATTAAATTAAATCTGGTATTCTAGCGAAGTCTAACTGATACAATAGGCCAGGTGTGAGAAGCTGACCCTGGTAGGTCTTGTTTTTCCACTTTGAAATCTCTCTAGGTAGGCCCAGGTATCTTTGTCTTTCTTATCTCTGCTTGCTAGGAATAGACCGTAGGACAAAGATCAGGGAGTGGCGCTTGCCTCAGCATTGCCCAGGTTCAGGTGAGTGGCGGAAAGTGTCTATGGCCCCAACTGTACTTTCTATACTGGTTACATACAGTTCATTTTCAGGATAACCTGTGACGCAGGGACTTTTTAATCCCATTTCATATTTAAGGAAACCAGGTCCAGACCTTTAACTTTTGGCTTTACTGTCTCTTGTTAAAGAATCCTTTTAAACCAGTTCAAGGGCTGGGGTGTAGCTCAGTGATAGAGCACACGCTTAGCATGTGCAAGGCACTGGGTTTCATCTTCAGCACCCACTGCCACCAAAGTTCAGTTACAGACAAATGTCAAGGTTTTGTTACAATCTTACACCCAAAGGAAGAGATCTATAGCAATCCAACCAACCACCCCGCTAAAAGAAGTACTTGAGGAGAAGAGAATGGAATTATAGTAATCATAGTTACGTTGACACAAAGAAAATGATCACTGGTTAAAGGTCACCTAACTCCTTACTCACTTATCTAGGTGGTGGGTGACTCATTTCCCAGAACTTGCTATCCTGCTGGAGTCATTTTTGCACATGTTGTCAGTTAATATGTATTAATTACTCTGCACTGTTTACCTCTCAGCAGTGTCCCAGATCAAGTATGCACAGCATTTGAGGAAACAAAATGGCCAAATACTTCTCCTATGGTCCTGTGGCTAGGCAGGTAGGTAGTGGCAGACGAGGGATTAGAACTTAGGTCAATATTTTATATATGAACCAAACTACTAAAAAAAACAGTTATTAATCAGTGAATAGAAATCCCACTTTTTCTGTCTACATAACTCTCAGCATTTAAAAATGTTCTGAGTTGCTTTTTGCAACTGGGAATATTTTTTCGCTCTCATTTTGAGTGCTTTTTTTTTTTTTTTTTTTTTTCCCCTTTTTTCATCAGAGCTGAGAAGGAAGGAAAGAGAACTGATATTTCCCAGAACCACTTTTTTCTCCTTTTCCTTGGGTGAAGATTAGGCAATTGTCTGCCAGATTTCTTCAGTGTAGTAAATGTATGTCTGACAATTTACAGGAAGCTTATTGGTCTTTTTCACTCCAGAAACTCATGATACTTTTTCTCATGACATGGTACAAACGTTGGAGTTGAGCTGTGCCTTCCCTTGGGCCATACACGCTGTACCCTGCAAGTTAACCCATAATAGAGCCTTTGTCCAGAAGTCAAGGAGTTGCTGTTGACTTGGCATTATTTTTGTTTGTTTTTGTTTTTTTATTTTTGTTTTTTTTTTCCCATACTGGGAATCGAACTCACAACCTTGTGCTTGCTAGGCAGGCGCGTTGCCGCTGAGCTAAATCCTCAGCCCCAGTTTGGCATTATTTATTAAAGAACAATGTAGATAGGGGCTGGGGTGTCCTATGTGGTTGAGTGCTTGCTTAGTATTTGAAAAGCCCAGATTTCAACCTCCACTACTGCAAAACAAATAAAGAAACAACAAGATAGGTGACATCGGGGATTCACACATGGAAGGCTCTTGTTTGCAAAAAAACGGTACAGACCATTATGTACCTTATATCTCTGTGTTTGTAATGAAGCAAACCATAGTGTGTTTGCCTTGTTTATGTGTTTCCTTCTTTGTGGGTTTTTTCATTTGTTTATTTTGAGACAGGGTCCTGTTATGTAGTTCAGATTGACCTTGAACAGATGGTGATTCTTCTGCCTCAGCCAGAGATTGCAGGCCTGTACCTGCAATCATTTTGTCATTATCCGCTTCTCATCAAAAGGCGATTTAAGGAATGGAAGCTATTCCATATTTGAACATCTACAAACTTTACGGAGTGCCTTATCTTCCTCTTGAGTAGCAATTGGAAATCTGAGTCTCACCCAGCGTCCTCATTAGATATGAGTTCCTACTTAAGGAGTCAAAATGAAAACCCTTTAAAGGGAAGAAACAATTGTTGAAAGCAAGAAGGACTTTCTTTTATTTATTTATTTACTTATTTTTTGGTTTTTTGAGACAGGGTCTCACTATATAGTTCAGGCTGGACTTGAACTCACTTTGTAGCCCAGGCTGGCCTCGAACTTGAAGCAATCTTCCTGCATCAGCCTCCTGGGTGCTGGGATTACAGGCGTGTGCCACCACACCTGGCAAGAAGGATTTTAAATATAGCATACTGGACTTAATTTTTTTTTAAAAAGGAACTTTATGTACTGAAAATGATAAAAAGACCTTTATCACTGAAAAATGAGAACTTCTGTTTTGTAAAGGTCTTTCAAATTTCCACTTATTGTTGCAGCAAAAAATATTATATGTCTATTATATACGTGTTCTGGGTCCATGGATAATGACAGATAAGCACATTACCATGTAATGTTAAGTATTTACAACTGCAAAGAAATGATGTTACTTATTTAATGGACTATTCTTTTATTTGTCATCAAAAATACTGTGTAGTAAAAGGTTTAACAAGGAGGGAACACTTGACAGATCGCTGCAGCTCATTCAGGATGGGGCAATACGAAACTTTTGAATCTCCTTAAAAGCTATGACATTTTTCAAGAACAGTAATTTGAATTCATTCACCTTCACGTCCTGCTGTCCAATTAATGCTAAATGAATGAAAATAAAATCTCTGGAATCCCAGAGGGGTGATTCCTCTGAATCTTTCAAGGCTGAGCTCAAGGGCCCATCCTATCAGAAAACCCGCTCTGGCTTTCTACAGACTAGAGTTAGATATCATCCTGTATGTGTCCGAGGGACCTCTGCTGTCTCTGGTCACTGTGCTCATCATTCCACGTCTACTTGCTCTTCTGCCAGGGCAGAGAACAGCAATCCCACACTGGTCACCTTTGACTGCAGCTCAGAGGTGAATAGCACACAGTGTGTGTGTCATTTGTTGATATGAACTAATCACACAAAATTGTCTTTTGAGCAGAGGTGAAGTACATGTTAGGAGGTAAGAAAAAAAAAAAAGGAGGTAAGAAAGGCACAAATTTATATCCCTTGTTTTTCCCTCACTGGTCTTATAACCTTCTACACACCAGTGTGTCTCTTTAAACATTTTCCTTTTCTGTTGAGTGGGAAATATAATAGAACATTCCTCACATTATGAGGATTACACACAGTAATTTGTGGAAAACATTTATACCACCCGATAAATGGCAAAACTTCAATGTATTTTAATTATTGTTTACTTCTCTACTTCTGCCTGGATCTTTTTTCCTTTTTGTATTCCCTCCCTCATTCTGTTTTTCCTTGCCTTTTTATTTCGGTCTTAACTTAAAGTCTTAACCTTGTTCTCTTCTCAGCTCTTATCTTATAGCTCTGCATGTGTCCAGCTAAGCCTTTTCTCACGTGCTTATCTCATGTGCTTATTCACCACCTCTAGAGAAGAGAGCACATTGTGTAGCACCTGTGTTCCAATCTGATGCCCTATCCTTTAAGACAGAAACATGGTGCATTAGTCAGGTTTCTGTTATTGTAAAGAAAAATGCTTGACGCAATCAAATTATGGAGAAAGAAGGTTTATTTTGGATCAGACTTTTGGAGCTGGCAGTCCATGATTTGTAATTCCCAGTGCTTTTGGCTGGGAGAACTCCTACAAGACTCCCCCACTCCAAGGTTCCAGCACTTTCCAGTAGTAGTGCCATAGGCTATGAGATATGAGATTAAGACTGGGGCAAAACGGACAGCTAACTGAATGTACCAAAGGTCATAAAAACCTATGACTAACAGGTTGAGCAAGAGGTTTGCTTAAAAGAGAGGACATAAGGAGAACACGAGACCCAAAATGACCATGTAATGTTCAGTATTTAGAGTTGTGAAGAAACGATGTTACTTATTTAGTGGACTATTCTTTTATTTGTCATTAAAAATACTGGTAGTAAAAGCTGCAGTGATCACCGAAGGATTAACAAGGAGGAAATACTTGACAGATCGCTGCAGCTCATTCAGGATGGGGTAATACGAAACTTTTGAATCTCCTTAAAAGCTATGACATTTTAGGCTTATGGCTGAGCACTGTGACAATCAGAAAGTGCTATTTTCAGTCTTTTATTTGCATGTGGGCACGACAAATCAAAATGCACTCTTCCTGATCCTTCTTCATTCACATCTGGTGGGAAGCCAAACGTGTCTTTCCACAGGGCACTCTAAATCCAGTGCCAGGCCAAGTGAGTTTCTGATAAGACCAATGTCCCAGTGCATGTGAGCAGGGTACA